CTTTTTTTTTTTCAGTTTCAAAATTCCGCGCGCCGGCAAAGGGCAGTGTGTGAGCCCTCGGGATACAATCTCGTTTTCTAAATCTCATCGATGATTTTATTATTCATACTTTTATTCACTGATCGAAATATAATTGGGTGTATGAGAGCGGAGAGAGAGACGACGAGGATAGATGATGAGAGAGAGAAGAGACGAGAGAGAGGACGAGAGTAGATGACGATTAGCATGAGGAGGAAAGAGGGTAGAGAGAGAGAGAGAGAGAAAAGAGGGAAGACAAAAGAAAGGCATAATAAATTAAGAAAGAAAAGGAGGAGCGGGAAAGAGAAGATGAAGAGAGAGAGAAGTGAGAGGAGAGAGAGAGAGAAGAGACGAGAGAGAGAGAGGGAGGGAGGGAGGGTAGGAGGAAGGGAGGAGGGAGAGAGAGATGAAGAAAAAGAGAGAAAGGAGAAAGAGAGGAGGGAGATTTTATTATGTCAATTTTTATCTTCCACTGATCAGAATATATTGGGCGTAGGAGATGAGGAAAGAGAGGAAAGAGAGAAAGAGAGGGAGAGACGAGAAATGGAGGGAGGAGGGAAAGAGGAAAGAGAGGGAGAGAGAGAAAAGACGAGAAAAGAGCAGGAGGAGAAGAACAAGACCGGAGAAAGAGAGGGAGAGAGAGAAACAGAGAGAAAGAGGGAGACGAGAGAAAAAACGAAAAGAGGAGAGAAAGAGAGGGAGAGAGGGAGAAAAAGAAGGAAAAGATGAGGGAGATGGACGAGAAAAGAGAGCGAAAAGACTATTTGAGAAGGGAAAGAGGAGGAAAAGAGAGAAAAAAGGAGGGATGAGAGAGAGAGAGAAAGATAGAAGAAAGAGAGGTGTAGAGATCGAGAGAAAAGATGAGGAAGGAAGAGAAAGAAAGACGAGGGAGACGGGAAGAAAAGAGAGAAAGAGGGGAGAGAGAGAGAGGAAAAAAAGAGAGAAAGAGAGGATGAGAGGAGAGAGGTAAAGAGAAAAGATGGAAAGACGGGGAGAGAGAGAAAAGAGAGAAAGAGAGGGAGAGAGAGAAAGAGGAGAGAGAAAGAGAGGAGAGAAGGAGAAAAGAGAGAAAGAGAGGGAGAGAGAGAGAGAGAAAGAAAGAGAGAGAAGAAGAGAGGGAGAGGAGAGAGAAGAAAGATGAGGGAAGGAGAGAGAGAAGAGGAGAGGAGAGAAGAGGAGAGAAAGAGAGGGACGAAGAGAGAGATGAGAGAAGGAGAGGGGAGAGAGAGAAAGAGGAGAGAGAGAGGAGGAGAGAGAAGAGAGGAGAAGAGAAATACGAGTAGGGAGAGAAGAGAGAGAGAGGAGGAAAAGGAGAGGGAGAGAGACGAGAGAGGAAAGAGAGGGAGAGAAAAGAAGAGAGAGAGAAAGAGGGGAGAGAGAGAGAAGAGAAAGAGAGGAGAGAGAGAGAGAGAGTGAAAGGGGGAGAGAGAGAATGAGAGAGAAAGAGAGGGAGAGAGAGAGAGAGAAAAGAGGGAGATGAGAGAGGAGAAAGAAGAGAGAAAGAGGAGAGAGAAAGAGAGAGAGAGAGAAAGAGAGAGAGAAAGAAGAACAGAAAAAGAAAAAAGAAGAAAGAAAGAGAGAGAGAGAGAGAGAGCTGAGAGAGGAGAGAGAGAGAGAGAGAGAGATGAGAGAGACAGAGAGGAGAGGAGAGAGAGAGAGAGAAGAAGAAGAGTGGAGAGAGAGAGGAGAGAGAGAGAGAGTGCAGAGAGAGAGAGAGAGAGTGAGAGAGAGAAGAGATGAGGAGAGAGAGAGAGAGAGAGGAGAGAGAGAGAGAGAGGAGAGAGAGAGAGAGAAGGAGTGGTGAAAGGAGAGAGACGAAAGAGAGTGAGAGAGAGAGAGAAAGAGACAGTGAGAGAGGAAGAAAGAGGTGAGGAGAGAGAGACGAGAGAGGAGAAGTGAGAAGAGAAGAAAAAAAAAAGAATAGAGAGAGAGAGAGAGAGAAGTAAGAGGAGTGAGGAGAGATAAGAAGAGAAAGAGAGTGAGAGGAGAGAGAGGAGAGGAGAGAGAGAGAAGAAAGAGCGTGAGATTGGCTGTGAGAGAGAGAAGAGAGGAGAGAGAGAAAGAGAGAGGAGGAGAAGAGGAGTAGAGAGACGAAGAGAGGGAGGAGAGAGAGAAAGAGGGAGAGAGAGAGAGAGAGAGAGAGAGAGGGAGAAGAGGAGAGAGAGAGGAGAGAGAGAAAGAAGATGAGGGAGGAGAGAAAAAGAGAGAGGAGAGAGAGAAAGAGAGGACGAGAGGAGAGAGAAAAGAGAGGAGAGAGAGAGAGAGAAAGAGAGCGAAGAGAGAGAGAAGAGAGGAGAGAGAGAGAGAGGAGAGAGAGAGAGAAGAGAGAGAAGAGAGAGAGAGAGAGAGAGAAGAAGAGAGGAGAGAGAAGAAGAGAAGAGAGAGGAGAGAGAGAGAGAGAAAGAGAGGAGAGAGGATGAGAGAGGAGAGAGAGAGAAAGAGAGGAGGAGAGAGAGAGAAAGGAGAGAGAGAGAGAGAGAAAGAGAGAGAGAGAGAGAGAGAGAGAAAGAGAGAGAGAGGAGAGAGAAGAGAGAGAGAGAGAGAGAGAGAGAGAGAAGAGAGAGAGAGAGAGAGAGAGAGAGAGAGAGAGAGAGAGAGGGGAGAGAGAGAGAGAGAGAGAGAGGGGTAGAGGGAAGAAAAGAGAAAGAATCCATTAATCTGCATACGTTTTAGCCAAAAGCCAAGGCTTCCTCCATTCGGTGTCGCTTGCTCTTTGTTTATCGCGCACTCACAAAAATCACAAAGAGGATGCATGCGCCATCCCCGACCCGGTGTGGCTGCCGGTGCACTGCGAATGTCAATAGAAATCGCCAGAATAGCATCATGCGTGAAAAACTGCGGCGCCTTTCCGCATGCGAAGGAAGGCTCGAGCTGGCCTTATGCGGATCCGGCGAGAACGCATATTAAGCGAGCCAGCTTCAGATTCAGATTCGAACGGTTCATTTAAGCGTTATTTTAATTGTATTGTGGCTGTAATACATATAGTTTCTTGATGATCTGCTTGAGTCAATTGAGAGTAAGACCGTCTATCCTTTGGGGCACTTGATCGTAAAGGACTAACCTAAAAAATAATAGGTTAATGGCTTTAATTTGCCATGTGTCTTTTACAACGTGGCCATGGCAGAATCATAGAACAGCGAAGAAAAGGACAAGAAAACGCTACGAATATTCATTGCTCTTCCCTACGTTGTTTCGTTTTCAATTCGCCCAACATGAATCTTTCACAGGCTGGAATCAACAGGTTGTTTGGTATTTCAAATGACTTTCACTGACCAGGCCTCGGCGATGCGAAGCCACGCTCCGAAGTGCAATTAGTTGGCACAATGATGCAGGCGACGACTCCCGCATTCCCAATGTTTCGAACAGCTGTCCGGCGCGCGATCCAAACAAGGCACGAACTCGTCCCAACGGCATTCTCGAGCAGCATCACTCCGGCCGCCCTCTGCCACGTGGAGCCCGGTCGACACGTTCGCAATTGGGCATGAATACTGCATGGCTTCGAGGGAGATCATCCTGCCAGATCACCCCCAGTTAAGCACAGCAATATTAATGGCGTGGGTGTGCAGTGGGCCGTCGCTTAATGAATGGGAGATCGTGGTGCAACGCGGCTTCGACTTAGTATTCTGGGCTTCGAGAAACGCCGGCGATGGTCACGTCAGTAAATGAGGAATTATCATGGCTGGAGAAGAAAATACGTTCTGAATATTTAGCGGTTCTTCTTTGAGTTCGGCTTTCATGGGGGTTTTCGAGACTTCGGCAATGCATAATTCTGGTTTGTTCCAGAATTGTGTCAAGGTCTAGACCCTGAATTGTGTATTGCAAATATGAAAGCAAATAGTGGGAAGAAGAAAAAAAAGATATCTGGTATTTACGCTCATTCTGAAACACTGAAAATTAGAATATTCCATCTCATTGTAATATTTTTACTAATCAAATGACAAAAGTGCAAAATATGCAATCCTATACCAAGACCAGATATAAGTTTCTAATTATGTGTATGTGGGTACCTAAAGTTGTGAAGGTTAAATAAGATTATTGAATCTTGGTTCATAACATCGATATGTTCATGTTAATGAGAGCAATAATAGCTATAGCAATATCAACAATTACCAGTAATCACCACCTGTCATCATCATCATCAATGGACGGGGTCACCCCCCATCCCCGCCCTTATAACAGATCGGAGAACAGATTCATTATTACTTACGCCAAGGAAGTTGTTTTTAGTAGTCAGTTTGTTAATAGTTAATAGGCTAGTTAGTTTGGGCGTTTGTTCCTTAGCAGGATCACTCAAAAAGTAACGAACAGATTTTTATGATTTTTTACCAGAGGTGTGTCTTATGCCATTAAATTTGGGTGGTGATCCGGATCCAGAATTTAAAAATATATATATTGCATCAGTTACCCCTATTGCATTGATAATAGGTGTACCCCTATTGCATTGATAATAGGTGTTACTATTATTATCATTATGTTTACGGACTATGAAATGTACTTGAGAAAGAGATGATTTTAATTATTTTTTTCAAAAGTGAATATTTCTATTTCATCAGTGACCTTATTGCCTTGACGGAGGTATGCGGTCTCTGAGTGCTTCTAGTTCTTTTTGTTATTATTAAAGTGATCGACCACCTGTAATTGCTCTAACTTGTGGCGTCTTGACCCTCATCCACCAGTTCTATTTGTCGTCCTCCGCATACCTATCCCAACTGCCTGCACCCCCCCCCCCATCTATCCTACTTCCATGTGTTTTTTTTTTTTTTTTATCTTTATCCCCTTATCCTTCCACTCGAACCTGCTTACCCTGATCTGCCTACTTAAACCTGCTTGCTTTGACCTGCCTGCCCTGCCTTGCCTCCTTTACCCTAACCTGCCCATCTTGATTTGCCTTCCGTAACTTGCCTCCTTTACCCTAACCTGCTTACCTTGATCCGCCTTCTATGCCCCGACTGCCCTGACAAGTGTGCCTTCGCCCCCACCAGGAGTGCCCCTGATCCCGCGCAAGATGGTGGCGGCTTCGAATCCCGTGGTGGAAGTGCGGCGCGACGGGGACACGTGGACCATCCGCATGAACACCCTCGTGCGCACCGTCGAGTACGTCTTCGAGCCCGGCCAGACCGTCGAGACCGAGACCATGGGCGGCATGGCACAGGTGGGTTGGGCGGAGGTGGTGGGGGGGGGGATGATAGTATGAGGGAGGGGTCATAGCACAGGTGGGGGGGAGAATGATAAAGGAGGGAGCCATGGCACGAGTAAGTGGGGTTTATAAGAAAGGAGGGAATAGTGGCACATTTGTTGGTTATATTTCAGTAAAGAAAGCACTTTAGGTGTTTATTTTGTTGTCGCATATAAAAAGGACACTTTGGCTTCCTTGATGTAATAGGGCAATTCTTCGCCCTGGAAGTATGCTATTTTACCTTTGCCCCAAACCTGCATTGTATACCCGTGTAAATGAGAGGAGACCCCCCCTCCTCTCCAAGATATTTTTACTGGGATGATTATATTTTGTCTCATTTCATGGCCACTTCCCATAGTACATGAAGTAGGCCTATTTCTTCAATGTGACAGAGGTTGCAAGGGTCACTGAGTTTATTAGACTTACATATATATGAGAAATTTTGAACCATCATATGTATATATATAGAAAAGAAAAATGATATAAAATTACTCCTGACTTATGTGTTTGATTTTGTGTAATGCTTTTGAAAGGAGTAATTTTCCTGTTTTTTTTTTTTCCTTTTTTTTTTTTATCCCGAATCCCGAGTCCCGAGTTTAAAAACGTAATATGGCAACATGAGATCAAAAGCCAAAAAATTGAATTAATGCAATTACTTATGGTAGTCAGGTAACAATTTTTCTCCTTTCAGAATGTCTTCACAATTGAAGATGACAGGATTATGCAGATTCAGAAATCAGACACATACACAACAGAAGTGATCCGACAGTTCACAGAGGATAGTTTAATCATGGTATGTAATAAAAAAAGAGATCTATCTTATTTTTGTTTTTCAACATATAATTTGCTGATTTTTCTGGACTGCGTAATTCAGTGCACCAGATGTTTACGAATTCACTCCTTTACTTTTTCTTTCTTTTCAGACAATCACTCATGTGGAATCAGGTACAGTCTGCCATCGTTACTTCAGGAGACTTTAGAACTTCAGATTCACGTTTGCCAGGAAATAAAGCGGCATCCTTATTTTTTGAGAAAGTCGGCCATGGTCGCGTAGCATTTTTTACAAGTTTGTTAGTATAGAACATATATTATGCACATACCCTAATGTACATGGATAGAGTACACAAGGACAGGGAGAAGGAGAGGTAGAGGAGGAATTGGATAGGGAGAGCAGGAAGGGGGAAGAGGTAGAGAGAAGGGAGGAGGAAGATGGAGAAGAAGAATGGAGAGAGAAGAGAAGGAAGAAGAACAGGGAAGAAAGGGTGACAGAGGGAGAGAAGAAAGAGGGGCAACAGGAGAGGAAGAGAGAAAGAGGCACAGGTTTGTTTATAAACTGTTCATGGATTACACAACACTTCATGTCTTTCCTTATATGCAACAACTCATGTTTTGTGAACATTATGCACATAAAAAAGAGAAGTAAAGAAATCTGTCAATGTTTATGCTAATTCACACAGACTATCACAACTGTTACTATTTTTAACATTTTAACATTTGCATTTTTCACTGCTTTACCCTTCACTAGAATAAATGACATATGCAACATTGTATTTACAACCTAATATTACTTTAGTCTGAACAACTAAACTTTTAACATAGGAATTCATTTTAACAAGCTCTAATGCTGAAAGACAATTTTTGCAAATGCATAGATATAAATAAACTATTGCTGTTTCTGTAACATTTAAGAACTGCATTTATTATTGATTATTTTGATACATTTGCATCTCCACTCAGTTTTTTCCTTTTTTAAAGAAATGAATACAGATTTTTTTCATCAATCTGTGGAGTCTTCAGAACTATATTATTTTGTATTTATTGAAAAATTTCAGCCACATTAACATCTAAGGTCATTAGCGCCATATTCAAAATATAGAGATATGGCGAGGCCTCACCATAGAGCACCATGATAAAATATTGTGGTGAAATGCATAAAAATGAGTTGAGGATTTGGACAAAATAAGTTAGATGTCAAAGGTTGCAGAGCGCTGAAGGTTAGTATGGTATGTGAAAAGAGGGAGGAGCAAATGGAGGCCGTTCAGGACTGACATAAAGCCAGTCTTTCATCCTTTCAGCACAGCTCTCACACTTTTGGATGTGGACATGAGAAGGGGATGAAGAAAAGGAAAAATGAAAGGGGTAGAGGAAAAAACAATGCAAAATTAGTTAATGTGAGGGCTGAGGTCCAAGGTTGGGGTGATTCCCTACCTTGGGCCTTAGTCTCCATCTCCTATGTCCCCCACAAGAAGAAAAAGGGATTGGGGGATTTCAGGATGCTAGATCACACATTTCTTTCTCCAAAAACTGTATTTGTCATTTGCTGTTATATAGAAAAAGGACACGGCTTGGGCTCCCTTAAAGTAGCAGGATCATCCCTTCACTTTGGAGTCAGTGTTGTATTTTATATACCATGTCAATTTATATTGATAATAAATTGTCATTCAAGGAATTTGTGTAAAAATACTTAAGAGAAAGTCCCTTTCATCACAAAGAACAACTTCCTCAGTGAATTATGCAACTTAGTGTAAACAACTAAAACATGATTTTTTTTCATGTACATGACAGACAATATACACTTAGCTCTGCTGTGTGGGGTTAGGATTTGGTATTTTGTTGATTTTGGAAGTGTTACACATTTTCTTCGAATGTATAATTTTGTGAGCATGCACTCCTAAATTACCTATAAACAGAGAAAAGGAGTATTATTTTGATTATCCTTTTTCATGATAATCTTAAAACCAGTTGAACTGATAACATATATCCTGTTCAGTAAAACAATACAAAAAAATGATGATAATAAAAAATACAATTACCAGAGTAATTTAAATAAAGACTTGATTACAAAAAGTGGGTTTATGTTCACGATATATATTTTTTCTTTTTATAGATTATTTAAAACACTAAAACAACATGAAATTCATCAACAGCAGTAAGGCATTCAAGATACATTACTTGTCATATAAGCACATACATTTTAAATTACTTTGTACAAAATTTGCAGGATACAACCTCAAATCAGGTATACAGTACAGATTAATTAACAATGATTAATTTTACACTGAACAACTTATTCAAAAGGATTACACACTGATAATATACTAATTTCATAAATAAATTACCAGAATGCAAAAATGAATTGTCTAGAGTTTTTGTATTACCCACCTTGCTTTTAGATTCCGAATCACACCCAATTTTTGCTTTCATAGGCAGGAGTTGATAAAACATTTAGAATCCAAAACTTTTTATTTCCCTTATATTCATAACTATGGCGAGTTATAATAAAATATTATCACTAGAATTCTTTACAGAGACCACAAAAGAAAGACCTTAATAACATTGTATTGAAGGTTGACTGTGATTTCTGTGACTTTCCGTTTGAGGAAGCATGCGAGAAAGGAATCTTGGATTTTTTTTCAATAATATCTGACATGAATTTACACATTTTGTATATTTATAATAGATAGTGATGACAATCATAATGAAAAAAGTTTATAAAACATTCAAACAGTTTTAAGTATAAACAGACATGTAACAAAAGATTCCCAACCTAAACTAAATGCATAAACATAACACTGGTTTCTTGTCTTTAACCTATAACCTTATATTATAAAAATAAAAATAATAATAATAGTTTAAGAGAAAAAATAAAAGGCTTTGTAATATCTTGACCTGCCCATGAAGATGCTCTCCCTAGCCGGCTCCCAAAGCAAGGAGGGAGCGCATCTCATTTCATCTCGTCCTGCTTCATCTTTTGTTAGAGTGTGCGTTCTGTTCCCGAGTGGCCCTTGGCTGAGTCGCTGAGGCACACCCACTGGCCCTCGAGTGTCTCCTTCCACAGGCTCACCTACCGGGCAGAAAAGGGTAAAAGTTAGAGAGAACAAAAGAAAGCAAAATAACTTCTTATTGAAGTAAAAGGAATAAGGAAAAAAGAAAATGAAAGAATACATTGAAAAATTTACTTAACATAAAAATACTGCCTTGAAAAGGTATAAAATGTATCTATAAATAAGTATTAGCCAATGTGACTTCATTCCTTTACAAACATTAAGATATCACATTCTAGGCCCCTGAACTATAAAAGTTTCTATATCCTGGACTGAAGTCTCACCTTGTTATCCCCACCCGACACTGCCAAGATGTTGCCTGTGACAGACCAGCTAACGTGCCAGATGACATCGTCAAACGTGTTGAGCTCACGTGGCTGCCAAGTGCCTGTGACTCCGTCATTCATCCAGATGATCACTCGGCGATCCTAATGGAAAAAGTGTTCACATTTGTTTTGAGTGAAAAGATGTTTATGAAGATTACAAGAAAATAATAACTACAATAATGATAAAAAATAACAACAACAACAATAGTAATCAGAGTCATGTATTTCAATTTTACACAGTAGTATTTCTACCACAATAGATTGCCATAAATCTATGATCACTGACACTACAATTTTCTATTGCATATCTAAGTAATACCTATAAATCATTTTCTCCATTATTCAAGTATACATTATTCCTTCCACATTACCTGAGAACAGGAGGCAATTATGGAGCGTGGCAGGCCAATGGAGGGAGCCCATGCAACGTCACGCACCCAGTCTGAGTGGCCCTCAAGCTTACTCTCCTCAGTCCATTCTCCTGTGCCACTGTCAAATCGCCATATTTTGACATAGGTATCGCAACCACCTGTCACGATGCGCTGCACTGCTGAGGCTGTTCTGTTGGAGCCGTCAGCTGAGCCTGAGGCCACAGCTGGCGCCCAGCTCACTGCATTGCAACCAATCTGGAAAAAAAGGAAAATATAATAATAATAATAATAATAATAAATAAAAAACTACATATATAAACACATGATTTTTAATAAAGAGCAAACAAGTTATTCCATTACAATTACTAACGAGACTTAATGTAAATTTTTCCATCACAAAATCAAATACGCTACCATTTGGGGACACTTACAGAGTGTGCGTTGGTGATTTTCTTGTTTTCCCAAGTGTGTGCGGATGTGTATGTTAAAATGGACACAGACCCATCCGAGGATGCGCAGGCAAGGATCAGTCCATGTTCATGGGGAGCCCAGCACACACTGTTAACTGTTGAGGCACATGGAAGAAAAGACATATTAACACTACAACACTTAACACTTCACTGCATGATGAGACTTAGCATGATGCTGTTGGGAACATGTGATGTCCACTGCAGCTTTGTTTTTTTAAATTGTGTTTACGCACAATGGTTCTACAAGAGTTCCGCTACCTATGAGTCAATTAGTAGGACCACATGACCTCACTTGATTTCCCTGTTCCATGAGTTCTCAGGATTTTTTTTTTTCTAACACTATTAATATTGATAGTCCTTTTTTTCTATTATTATTATTATTATCATTATCATTAAAGGTTATCAACAATAATAATAGGAAAAAAAGACAAAATAAATAAATAAAAACTAAACAAATAAAAGGCAAGGAAAAGGGTAAACAGGTGTGATAGGTAGACAAAGTCACTGAGTTACTGGTGACTAAGCACTTGCGGAGCCATCTATGTGTAAACACATTAAATAGCCTAATAACATAGCAGACTTGGCATGTACTTACAAGCCATCCCCAGCGGCAATAGGGTAAATGTATAATCTGACAAAATCATCATCATCTTCAACATGAAATGCGACCGTTTTACAAGATCAACACTTAATCAAGAGCAGTGTCCACTTGTATATCATTCAAGTTCTTTTAAAACAGCTTGACTAGCTTTTTCACTACAAGGTCCAAACCTTTGGGGGATTAAATATTGGCAACTGACATTATTTTCACTTGTTTTATAAAATAAAATAAAATGATATCTTTCCACATTTAAAAATACTGCTTTTTATTATAAAACTTCCTGGCAATATTTAGGCATATAATTATTTTATGAACATAATGATCTATTGTGCTTAACAGCAAAAAGTAAAGTCATACTGGTATACTTATTAAGCATGAGTAGCAGGAGTAACAATCTTGGACCTGGGAGTTTTCTAGGAAGTTCTAGACTTTCAAACAGAACTTTAATTCATTTTCTTTAAACTTTCAGTTACATAAAAAAAATTGTAACATAAAAACATGAACCTTAGGCCACTACTCAGACTCATTCTTAGAATAACATTACAATTATGATTACAATTACAGGCTCGGTGCATTTACGTTAGCTTTAACACACTTCTAAAGATGTTTCAATCTAGTCTTTTTAATATGGCCCTGTCTGTAGTTTACTGCTTACAGTGTAACCCTCTAGAAAGCAGTTGAAGACTTAACCCACTGGATCTGGTAAAGTACCTGACATGTCATGAAAAAATTTGGCTAATGGCCAGGTGACCTCAATATATCATGAAAATTTTGATGTAAGGGAGTGCACTAAACTCTTGGAGGAAGATTAGACTCAGTGGCTATTAAGGAGGGATTTTCATCTTTATTTCCACCAATAAACAAGGTAGGAGGAGCCAAGGTAGGAGGAGCGCTGGCTCCAAAGAGGAGACTATTTCCATGCACCGTGATTGGTGGCAGGTGTATTACAAAAAACTGAATATGAAAATATTAAAAAATCACGCAATAAACAAAATGTTACTCAATGTTATACATAGCCTTGTAAATTACCTAGAGATATGATACAGTCTGTGCAAGGAAAACAGTCTATTACCATCTTCACCTAGCTTATCAAATAACAAGTATAGATCTTGGGGGAAAAGAAAAAAAAAAAAAAAGAAAAAAAAAAAGAAAGGGGAGGCACCTCACACAAGCATATCCAAGCCTACAAGCCACATAAGTGGGAGAATCTCCATTCAACTTAGTAAGCCTACTGTCCAGATTTTGGACCACATACAAGCATTTTTCTTGTTTTTTGGAAATATTTTCATTTCATCTTACATTATTATTAGTACTATTAATAACACTGTTATAATTATAATGTCAATAAAAAAATAATACACTATCAATACTATCAAAAAAAGATGATTATTTTCCTAAAAAATCAAGGAAACGAGAGGTCACATAGTTCTACTAATTAACTCCTTGGTGGTTTTGCACCTATGGAGCCATCTATTTGTAAATGCCTTTGACAAAACATTACTACTGTGAACGTTACTTGATCCCAGCAGCACTGGGTTAAGCATACTTGTTTAGATTCTTACCTGAGGAGTCATGGTTGGCATATTCATATATCTTTTTCCATTTGTGACCATCCTCTCGCCAAACAATAACTTTTCTGTCATAGCTGCAAGATGCCAGGATGTTACCATACATTGGGTGTGCCCAGGCAACTTGCCATACCTAAAAAGAAAGCAATATTCAGTAAATACATTTTCTCTTGTGTATGTGTGTATGTGTACATGTGTATGCACTTGTGTGTGTGTGTACATGAGAAGAAGAAGAAGAAGAAGAAAAAAAAAAAACACTTACTGGTCCCTCATGCTCTCGAAGATCAGCAATCTGGGTCTGTGTGGAGCCCTTGACCTCAAAGATCTTAATGGACCTGTCTGAAGAGCAGGTTGCGAGCCGGGTCCCATAGAAGTCCATCTGAGCATCATGAATCATGTCATCATGGCCTGTCTCAACATTGCTGATGACAGACACCTGCAGAAAGAGGCCAGAGTTAGGCATAAGGAGAGAAGAAGGGGAAATGTGCTCCCTTTTTCTTTGATACATCCTATACTTCTTGTTATCTGTTAGAGGACTTTATGAATGTTGTTTTCACTGAGAAAGAACAAAAAGAACTAAGAAGCATATACAAAGTGAAGTTTACAAAACAAGTGTATGCCATAGAATATAAGTTGTGAGTTAAGTCAAAATGATTCACTTTATTCAAGTCAACCCTAAAAAGAAAGTAAGAAAGAAAGAAAGAAGAAACAAGTTTTCATGATTAACAACAGATCTAGAAGCAGTTGCTGAATGAACATGTTAAAAGGAGATACCAGAACAGACATATTTTCATAGGAAGTCCTCCTAAATCAGTGACCCTTCCAAGCCTATATTCTAGCCAATGGTAATAAGACACCCATGGTTGATCTGTCTCAAAGATCACAGACAGATTCAGACTACAGAAATTTCAAATTATTGCTGACACACTAGCTGATGTTATTACCAAATAAAATGGGTTAACCTCTTCTTGGTAATTACTATCAACATTGGGGAAGTTTGTAACACAAAAATATCTACTATTTCTATACTGCTAGACATCTCTGATGTATCAAAAATGATTAAGCAGTATCTTATCACTCATACTTACAAGTTCTTACATCAGATAAAATTTCACATACTTTGGTTCCATCAAAACCATGATTACAGTAAACTTATTCCTATTCCAGACTACAGCTAAAAGGTGTCCTCTAAGTGCTTTTCTAAGAGCACCTTTCTCCTTTATTACTGTTGCCTCTAATCTTAAATATTTTTTCCTGGGATAGCTTCCTTTGCCTTAATTTGTAGCTATCCAAACTCCTTATACTAATTCTTTTACACCAATATTTGTGCAAATGCCTCAATATAGTGCTATAATTAAGCTTCATAAGAAAAGTAAACCACTACCCCAATATCCACACTGACCCAAAGTTGTTTGTGGTTTCAATGGATGCCTCTCATTCTCTACTACTCATGCATACACAAATTATGCTGCGGACCAGGTACCAGGAAAATTGCAGGGTAAATATGAATAACATACACAATATTGGTCATTATTGAGTTAACCCCCTAATCCAAAATTGCCGGACCTTCCCCTCCCTAACTACAATTTGGCCCAGATAGCATTGGAAGGAATGAAAGAAATTATGCTGCGGACCAGGTACCAGGAAAATTGCAGGGTAAATATGAATGACATACACAACATTGGTCATTATTGAGTTAACCCCCTAATCCATACCCTGGACAACAAAGAATCCACCACATATGTATGGAACGATAGAGCATAAGATAGACTGCACTGGGCACCGTGATTGCATATATTACACACCTATATATCTAATGCAAGGTGATTGTTCCCCCAGCTCCCACCTGAGAGTATAAAGTCTACCTCACATAGGTATAGTAGGACTGAACAATAGCAAATCCCATAGGAATGTACCCATAGTAGTAGTACACTAACCTGTGATAGGTCAGCATGATATACTGACTAGAATGTAGGACATTCCAGATTGTCATCCATCTATCAGGTTAGTAAATAATCATTCCTACGCAGCATTTTTCTAGATTCACCCAATGCATTGGTTATACGCTCTATCCTGCTGTGAATATGTGGAGAATATCTGTCTTCCAGGGCAAGGGTTTCGGGACAGCAGTCCCCCAGGGGGGTCATTGGGGGCACAGCCTCCTGCATTAAACAATACAGTAATCTATTGTGTATATTATTATCATAGTGATGTAAATTGTGCATATCATTTATATTTTACCTCATCCCCTACTATTGGGGCCAAGAATGTGCATATGTCCTGTATATATATAGGTAGTCGAGCGTGAGAGGAAACCATCGATTGTACTAACATCATGATCAGCAATGCAAAGGTATTATAAACAATTACCAGGTCAGTGATATAGAGCTTTAAGACATAGCTATCCTTCCCTGGCAAATTCAATCACCATGACCATATAATTCCTGCACTTCAATGCCTACCCCAACCTAGCCCATTGCCTATCCAATTCTGCTGACTGCCTATCTCCACTTCCCATCCCTAGCCCCTCCTAAAATAAATCTTCATTGACACTAATATGGTTATTCTTGAACTAAAAAATGTGGGTATAAGTTAAAGACACCGACGTGTGTAAATAGAAGGAAATGGACACTGCCATCTTTTAGAATGGATGAAATAGAGTTGGATAGAACACAGTTTTGGCTGCAGCGGCCTTATAGTCACTGCAAGATTATAGAACACAACCCCAGTCTTAAGATGATGAAAATATAACATGTGGGCACCTCACGTCCAGCTACTTCTTTACCTTGCCAGGAATAACAAAACACTGAATGCTGAACTCATTACTGCGATGTCCGAACTAGTTTGTGTATTACTATGCGCTTGTCAAAACAATATTTGGCTAATTATCAGTGTCTGCTGTTACACACTAATGATTTTAAAGTTTTATTAATGTTATTATACTTCATTTGCGTATTGTAAGATTTATCTATACCCTTGTTTAAAATCATGCATATCGAGTGTTTCACACTTTCTTTCGCTAGATACAGGTCGACACCTCAACAGCCCGCTCATTTTGAGGTAGAACGCCAGTGAGAAATGTTGCTTTTCCAGTGTTGTGTTGATTTTGGGTTATTTTTAAGACTTGTACACTGGCAACAAAGAATAATCAGACTTTAGTAACCATCCCAGTTTAATATCTGGGCCCATCAAGAGCTCCAAATGACGAAGAAAGTGATTAAAATCAAAGCAATCCAGATGGTACAAAGAAGCAACGAAAGTTTGACATTTCCGGATATAAAGGCATTAGGTTTATTATTTTATGATGTGAATGCAGCTCTATCTTGCCGTACATACCAAGGTGAAGAGAGTGTCCTGGGGGGCAGAGCTCCCCATCAACCCTCCTCTTGGGCAGTGCTCAAAGAGCACACCTAGTAACGATAACTAAAATTGGTATATTAGGCTGGTTTATTGGTCAATATGTTTTTTGGGGGTTTGGAATGAGTGAATTCCTGTGAAGTTTTGCCGGAATGTGGGTTGGGTTCCTGTAGAGTTTTTGAATTCTGGCGCGTCAGCCCGTAGAACTTCAAGGGTGGCGATTACATCTATAGAGTTTAATTGACCGATTTTAAGCGTTTTTTGTGCTAGTTTTACGCATTTTTGATCATTCTTATTTGAGCCTGTTTAACCCCATAATTTCCCTGATATACTTCATGCTCTCCCCTGCTAACGGGACTAACAAATCAAGATTGTTGATGAAGAAATGGTACTCAATCTCCTGAACGATTCATTCGCACAAGAAACAATGCCGAGAATTAATGAAATCATTGGATTTCCTGCAGAAAAACAATTTTTTTCAACCTAGTCCCTGGGAGGCTGCGTTGCTCTCTGTAACAAATATCAGCGGGCATGCCCCCTTTCCCAACCGCTGTAGGGAAAACACGTAATGGAACTCCATTTCGTGAAATGGAATGTCGTATACAAAATGGAACATGATATTGCGTAATTTACCAAATGATGCGCAGTACATGCACAAATAACCTTTTTTATGTCTCAGTTGTGTTAACATGTTCAACTTATAGTGTTGCAGGTATCGATGCACGGAAACCGCCAGTAGGCGGCACCGACATAGCAGAAGTGCTGCAATCTGGCCGTGGGCCCATCTATTATCGGCCATACTTTGAAATCTCTGGCGAAATTACAGTTAATCCTCTCTGGGTATTTGGATACGGTTCAAGAGGGGACACCTGCATGTGTATCTGAAGGTTTGCACACAAAAAACGACCTCTTTTCATTCCATTTCATATGCAGCATTCCATTTCGCAAAATGAAATTACATTACGTGTTTTCCCCAGACCCCTCCCGACCTCTGTCTAGGGAAACGTTAAGTTTGGATCTTTGGGTTTGCATGATACCGTGGTTCTGGGATTCCATCACTGGAGGGTGCAATGCTCTCAGTAACAAATACCTAATTCTTCTTACTTATTACCATTTTTATACTACCAAATTTTACCATTTCAATCATGTTCATATTCTTATAAGTAGGGCATCCTTGAGCCCTTTACAAAGTTACAACGAGGACTTTTCCCCTAATCAAAATATCTTTATAAGTGTAAAATTGACCCAAAAATCTAACATAACTAATACATTGTATAACCTTCCCTCTCTGCCGAATAAAACTGACAGAAAAAAATATAAATAAAAAAAAACACAGGCACAGGGCCGTGCCCTCTACCATCCTGACGAGCTTGAACATTTTCAAAACATTAGACAAGGACTCTACCCTCCCATCCATTAATAAAAAGACAAAATATACACAACAACTATGAAATATTCCTTGTTACCATCTTTGCGAAGGCGTAAAGAGGATGTCCGAGTCACAGAAGTTGTTCCACCGACTGAATCACAACAACTGTCGACCGTACGTGGCAGTCATCGGTTCGCCGAACTAAAACCACCGCATAGATACCGCTTTGATATCGGTAATTCAAATACATATATATTTTACAGATATTTGTTTCCATACGTTATATGAAAGTTACCTCTGCCCCTTTCTATTGTTGATGGTTTGTACTTTAATGTGAGAGGAAGGTTTCTTATTCGTGATGATGCAGGTGCCGCGTGGAAGTAGTTTAATTTCGTCACCAAGATTATTCTTCATATTTTCTTCCACATGTTCATACATTCATTGATTGGAACCCTAACAACAAGCAATTGTATATGTGAATGTCTCTCTTTACATATGGAATCCCCACGCTATTCACGTGACAAAAATTGGATGATTTGATTAATTATTCTTTTCTACTTGAAACATTACAAACAGCTGTTACTGACAGTTGTCTTGTTTAAATGATATATAGCTTCTTATATTTCGGCTGCACGCATAATGAATTGATAGTATGCGGAGAGAACTATTACGAACTGTAGGCCTAACCTCCACATTACCACTTCCAATGAGAAAAACATGCACAGGATCTCATAACGAGGTTGACAGGAGCTTGATTTTTTTCAATTTTTCATAACGGTTTACCATTTTTTTTTTTTTTTTTTTTTTTTTACAAAATAGGTATGGAGTGGAACTGTAACTTTTGATCTAAGCGTACTGGATGAATCGAAAAAGATGATGAAAATAAAAAGAATGACGACAACAGAGATAACGATTTTGGTGAAAAGATAAAGGTAAAGATGTGTACATAAAATAGAAAAGAAAATGATGAAATGTATAAAGTAGAGAATGTAAAATATAGTATGAAAAAGGACATAAAGATTAAGAAGTAAAAAAAGTAAAATTATAAGAATGAGAGAAATATAAATACGCATTAAAAAAAAGATTCTCCTCATTTACTTATATATTCAAATTATATACATATCAAACAACACGCCTCACACACTCACAGTACGGTAAAAAAAAAAGTTACATATTATTTATTCTAAAACAGAATTGTATATGAGACCGACGTATCAGTCAGCGAGTGGGAGGGGACATGACCCAACCCATAACCTCAAGCCTCATACACACATTTAAACATGTATACGACATGTCTGAAACACTGCTGTACACGGTTGCATACATGTTTGACATAACTAGTTTGGAAATTCGAACACGTAAACGTGTTTCCAGACAACTCTGGACGCAATTGTGGAAACAATAACTTGCTATCGTACAAATACCAATATATTTATGACTTGCTAAGGATCACGTTAGTAACATGTTTCAGATATGTTACCGGCAATGTTCTGGACTGCGTTTTAAGCTCCGTGTGTAAATGACCTAAAATTGTCTTTTAAAGGCTAAAAGAACACTTTGAAAAACCCTATTCTGGAGAACGTTGACTAGTAAGGACTTTTGTGGGACTTTTCCTAACCTTGACTCATGCCCGATCCAGGTCATACGAAACTAAGTGCAACTATGAGGCCCGAGGCTCTTCATCCATGCTTATGACAATGCGCTTCCATGTGAGGTGATCGAATCAGCTGATCGAAGGCAACTTCCTTTCCTTAATTTAAAGATTTCTCTTGCCTCCTTCCCGAGGAGTCAGTTCTCGAAGGCAAGGCTGGATGGCTTGGTCAATCCTATGGTAATCGACATATATCATTATAAAAGATGGTACTACTTCAAGTTTCACGACAATGATTATGTGTAATGATTATATATTTTCGTCTTCGAAGGTCGACGGAGGAACATACAACCGAATTTCTAGAGAATAGTCTGTAACAGATCTGTAGTGTGTTCATATGCCTCCATTATGGCTATGGAGAAGCTTTTGTTCATCACTAAGTAATTAAGAAATGTAACAAAAACTATTGTACGAGAACAATTATTGACAATCTGTTGCATATATATTTCTGTCTACTGATGACTTAATGTCAATATTTTTCCCTTCTAGGGCAATTACTTGTGTAATGATAATAATAATTATTATTGTGTTTATTTCTTCTTATTGTTATCATGGTTGTCATCATTGTTATTATTTTTAGTAGTGCTAATGTTACTAGTGTTGCTGTCTTGATAATTTCTGTTATTTTTGTTATTACTTTAATTAGTATTACAATTAATATTTCATTTTTATCAGTATACATCATCATTATCAATATTTCATTATTGCTATAAAAATAATAATTATGATAATAATAGTCATAGTAATGATAATGATTAAGATAAAAAATATAATGATAATAACAGAAAAAAGTTTTGGTAATATTAATGACAATGATGATAAAAATTATAATAACATTATCATGATTAACATTATTATAAATAATAATGATTATAAAAATAACAAAAAACAACAGTAATAGTAACAACAATAATGATAATAATCATTATTGTTATTATTCTTTTTATCACCATCTTCATTATTTCTATGATTTTAATTATTGCTTTTATGATAATTACTTTCATTTTCATTGGTTTTCCCAGCAGTTGGAGCCACCAACCCAAGACATGCACTCTCCTCAGTACAGTATCCTTTCCGTTCCTAGAAGAAAGAGCATTGCACTCTGTCTACTTTCATCTGGATATCCATCTTTGTCGACTCTTCCTCCAACTTTATCGACTCTTTCTCCAACTTTGTCGCCTCTTCCTCCAACTTTGTCGACTCTTCCTCCAACTTTGTCGGTCGACTCTTCCTCCAACTTGTCACAACTTTGTCGACTTTGTCGTCTCTTCCAACTTTGTCGACTCCAACTTTGTCGTCGAAACGACTTTGTCGAGCCAACTTTGTCGACTCCAACTTTTCGACTTTGACTTTTTTCTCCAACTTTGCCACATTCCTCTCCCTCTGCAGCCAATTCTACAATCACTACAGTTACACAAATGTGAACTCTCTCGTCTCATCTTGGTACTTTTCCACTTTCTCCTTTCCCTTGCCATCTACTCTTCTATCTCCAGGCTCCACTATGTCCTTAGGGTACCTACATTATTCACAACATAAATTTCATTACTGTTCCGTGCAATCATATTGTTACATTTTATGTACATGTACCTGTTTTTCTACCATTTATGCCAAGAAACAGCATGTATTCCTCTTTTAAATGTGTTGGATAGGTTATAGGTTGCTGTAAATTTCTTTGTGTTTCTATAATTAGGATATCACAGTTTCTAACTTTTGATCTCTAGGTCCCGCTGAAATCTACTTCTGGTAATTCAATTCTGTGAATCTTGTGTTCCCAACCTTTTTGTTTATCTGTACCTCCGTTGGGTAATTTTATAGATACCCTTAAAATCAAAGAAACAAAATCAATGAATATGATATTTTGATATATTTTTGTTATGAAATCTGTATGTGTAGACTGCATAAGACTCTTAATGCTGATAACATCAATAAACTAACCTCAGGTAATTTTTAAAATGTTTTGATCTGTCACATACATGCGGGGTTTCATGATAGTGAAAAACAAATGGTATTCACCCTGCTATAGATATCATTTAAGTAATATCTTTGTTTTACTTTGTGTGTGTGTATGTGTATGTATGTGTGAGTCAGGTGATGAGTAATCCTTTTATAATGATTTTTAGTCGACCTCCTGCAGTGTTTTATTTATCATATATTTTAGCGTAACTTGATGTTTCTTCTGCACATTTTATCCAATCTGAAAAACCTTAAATGCCTTAGACCACTTTTCCGTATTTTCTGCTTTTCATATAGTGCCGCCACATTTTTAGTGCTGCCACATTTCTAGTTAACGCAGTCCAGCTTATGCATTACGTATAATCCAGTTTAAACTATTTTTTCCTCTTACTGTAAATACTTTTCATTGCTAGGCAGATCATTTCGATATCATATAGGTGATTGTTATCGTTGACTGATGTTATGCTATTTTGTGAGTGCGGTAAAGTAAATCTGATTTTTCACCTTTTTTTCTTTTTCTTTTGTAAACTCTTGTGAGGAAAGGTTTCGCTATTTTCCTAATTAATTAAGGTTACCATGTGTAACATCAGTGATAGCGAGTTATTATAATGGAAACTGGTGCTTTGATCAGTTAGAGTCTATTCATATTGCATTTTATGAAGATCAGGATTTTTTTTTCATATTCAGTGGTAAATACACTTCCAGTATTTTCGGTAAAGATACTAATGGCTAAAATTAACAACAAAGGTAACTCTACTCTTGACGCAACAGCTCAGAATATGGATACTCGCGTGTATGATTTTTTTTTTACGTAATTTAATATGTAAAGGTTTCATTCAAAGGGTATTAACAAGACCATAGTTTTTTTTATTCATAAATACATAACAACATTTATAAGTAACTTCAAGTTACTATATAAATAACTTATCACATAACATTTGCACAAAATGTAATTTCTGCTACTTATTGAGGCTAATGACTTTCGCATCACACGATGAACCCTCAAGTTCCTTCCCTTTTTTACCCCCCAGCCAGGCGCAATTCATAACAAACAACAGACAGAGAGAGGCTGGGGTTGGAATTCCCTTTTAGGGATCCACGAAGGACACGATGATATATCTGGTTCCCTCTGTGGTGGGGAGGCCCTCGTGCAAATGTGTGAGGCGGCCGGGGTGCATCAGGATCCATCCGACGCGAGAATCCGTAACAGAGCAGTTATACCTGACGAATCGGCAGCCGCCTCCCTGTCAAAGAAAACGGAAAATATTTTTAGCTATAACTATGCTAAGAGCAATACATTATTTATCGATGGGATTCCTCACATTTAGAAGTGAATATATGTGCAATCGTTTCCAATAGAAGTGCGCACACGTAAAATATATAAAACTATCCTTGTCATTAGAAGTATTCATATATATAAACATATTTATATATATATACATGTACACATTTACTCACTCTTAAAATTAAAATTAGCCATTTCCTTTTTGATTACCCTGTCATTCTTTTGAATAAAGACATACCTTGTAGTCGACTCCGGGCTTGTTGAGGGCCACGTTGATAGTGTAAGTGGAGGTATCGTGGTGCGGGCGCAGGAAGGGCTGCTCATCGGGCTTGTATCT